AAATATATAATGCACTAAGTGGGGTGGGGGGACTTTCAGCAGTCTTCCTAACCTGGGTTCTCTCTCTGGATTTCTAGATTAAAATAAAGGAATGAGGATGGGGAGACACATTTGAGGCCTGCCATGTACCTGCAAAATAACTTCTAAGGGTGAGTCAGAGTGACTATCTGAGCAGGACTCCAGCTCCGGAACAACAGGATGCTTGTGGGCTTTCAAAGCCAGACTGAGACACCAGGAGATGCTCCATTGTCACCAATGTGTGCCTGTCACCTCAGAAACACCATGGGCTCATGGCCACCCAGAGATGCTCGTGTTCAGATGCCTCCTGGAGTCTCCATGGTCTCCTTAGGTGACAATGTTCACTTAGGACCAGGAGGCTGCCCAGGCCAGCTCAGGTATAGCCCCTGGCTCTGGACTGGCTCACAGAAAACAAGTTGGAACCTACCTGGAAGCACAGCACCCTTGTCTCCCCACCCCTTCCCACCCCCATGAGCCACACAGCCTCGAAGGCACTGGGTCTTTCTACCTGACTTCCTGAATCTTCTCTTTCTCCCTACTCTTTGGCTTCCTCTGTTCTGCCCAAGCCTGTTCCATAATGGCTGCCCCTGAGTCAGCCTCACCCATAAATAATCCCAGCACCCACCTTGTGCTGTCCTAGTCTCCCAGCCCTAGACTCCCAAGAGAGACTCTGAAGGGCCCAGCAACCTCTGGATTGGTTCACCCAGAAGGTGCCCAACCAATCACCCGAGGGTTGAGGCACCAGTGTGGCTGTAGGGGCTCCACAGAGGCAGTGGGAGGAGCAGGGTACACATGTCCCCACCTATCTCTAGCCCAGGACACTCACACACACTGCAGAGGCAAAAAGGTATGATATCTCTTCTCACTCATCATAAGAATCATGGCCAACATTTTTATAGCAAAGACAGGATTATAAGAGAAAAATAACATTTACGTAATCTCAGTTTCAAGTGAAATGGAAACTTTCAGAAATGAAAACACATGACCAGTTGCAGTGGCAGTTACAGTGGTAACAGCATTCTGTGACACTGAAGCCACTTACGAGGGTCCTGCGTTTTGTCCCAAGGCCTCCCCATAGATGTGAACCTAGGCATGCGCGCACATGCCAATGATCCTGGCTGACTTAGTCTGGGGTGGATCACAGTGTGGAGACCCTGTTCTGGAGTGCCTGTCTCTCTCTCTCTCTCTTCTCTCTCTGTCTCTGTCTCCCTCAATAAATTAACTTTTTTAAAGGGAAAGGGAATGAAGATCCCAATATTCAGAGAAACCATGACATTTACACTCAGATTCCATGAAGAATGGACTTTCATGTACGAATGTGATTGGACAAAAGGGGATGATTTCATGGTAATCGACGTGAGGAAACCACAAGTTCAGATACTGCTTGACTTCTCTTTGTAGCATTTCTACCCCCTCAAATAAGGGACAGGGCCCCTCTGGAATCTGGGTCTTCAAGGGAGAAGAGAAAGATGACCTTTTTAGATTTTATGGCTTGCTTTTGGGAGAGAGGGATTCTACTGTCTATGACCCATCCTGGAGAAGAGGAATTCTGGTTTCTGTGACATGCCAGGGAGAAAGAGGGGTGAGAGACATGAGGTCAGAGGTCAGAGAGAGCTTGCTTCTGAGGCCCTTCTGACGTCCTTCAGCGTAAAGCACTCAGCATGCCAGGGGGCCACACTTTGGGGTAACATGCTCTGAGTCCTAACAACATGCACACACGCATCCACACACAAGTGCATATGCATTGCCAATTCCCACTGAATGTCACTTAGCATTTCTTCAGTCAACAATGAGCATTGCTGGTCTACTGAAAGGAAACCAGCAATGTCATGCATTCACAGAGCACTCACAGCCTGTGCAACCCTCCATACCCGCCACTTCATATACACACATGGAGAGTCCGTGAGGAAGGCAAGGCTGTGATTTTCTTCTTCAAGATCAGTACCCTCGGATATACTGATTTCCTGAGGTCACGGTCATGTCTACTGTCAAGGACATCAGGACTGAACAGCTCACACAGGCTCCTTTCATTTGGTACCATGGCTAAACAGGCCCAGAGAGGCCTGAGGGGAACCCTGTGTGAAGATCCTGGGCTCAGTGAGGACGGTTACATTACTCCTGAGCAGATATCCTGGTTTCCATATGTGCAGGAGGAGTCTATTCCTGTCCTGTTAAACTGAGGAGTGTCCATGTGACTCACTCTGGCCAATGAAATAAGGGAGGAAGTGGCATGTTGGAGAGGTTTTTGCTATAGGGCGCCTGTGCTCGTCAGAAAGACAGAGAGAGACAGAGAGACAGAAAGCGAAAAATCAGCCCCAACCCAGGGGGGACAGCCATGCCGCAATCTCTTCGCCTCCATTCTCCTCTTGGGATCTTGGGCACACACGCACATGCGCCTGGCGTGAATTTAAGCCACTGGGTCCAGGACTTGAACTGCAGTAGACTACATGGGAGTCCAGCAACATAGCCATTACACCAATTGCTGGTCTCAAGACATTTAAAGTGACAGAACAGTGTACCTTTGCTGTTGAGAGCCACTGAGAGGAGGGCTCACCTGTTACTGCACTGTACTTAGCCTAGCCTGACTGACACTCCATTACCTAACTGAGTGTACATCCAGAAGA